TAAATCGCTTATATCTCACGAACTATCTAGTAAAAGTGGTCCAAACTTGGTGCGTGATCAGCATTCGATAAGAGCTATGCCCACACAAAATTAGAAGTCTCTAGCTATCATGGTTCTTGAGTTACAGGGGGGTCGGTACTTTTGACATGTACTGTATCTATCAAACATACATTCGTAGGTTACTGCAGTGGTGTTTCCCTGTCTCACTTTTTCTGGCTTACGAAGCGTTACACAGTGGATAATATACTTCAAACTACGGTTTATTTAATGGCATAAAAACCTTTATTCTGATTACCATAGTTCACCCGAAAATTCAGTGAAAATTTCATCCAAAAACTTAGTGATTAAGAAATAAAAGCTTTTTTTGTCTAAACTATAAGGCACCGTTGAAAAACTCATACATATTCTGAAACTACGTCTTCCGATCTATCGATTCCTAAAAAATAGTGTTCCCTTACCGCATTGGCGTCGGAAGAAATAGTTTTTCTTTGTACGCTAAGCGTTTTCCGAAAAGCTATCTTCGGTATAGTGAGTTTCCACAACGCCAAATTTTGATGAAATTTGGGTAGAATACTCTTCTACTTACGATACTTCTACAGGGATAGTGCCAAAGTTTCTAAGCCAAGTTACACGGTTTCCAAAACATCTGATTTTTTAAGTAAAAATCTTTCTCTATCTAGAAACACTTTTATTGAAAAATAAGTTTATATTTGAAATCAGTGCATAAAACTCCATCGAATGGTGTATAACTTGGTCATTTTGTGAATAAAAATTTTTTCGACAAAAACTTAGGGTAAAGGCCCCTCAGCAATTTTTCTTCTAAGAAAATGATTTCCGAATTTGGGCTTTTTTTAACTTACAATAACATTTCAAACGTAATAAAGTAGTATTGAGCAAAAATAGTCACTTTTTGAATTAAAAAACCACATGTCCGTCTGGTCTATAGAAATATGCCCACTGTGTGTTATGCAAGGTAACAGCAGTAGTACTAAATCTTTAATCCTATAGTGGAACGTAACGAAAAATGAAATCAAACTTCACATCATTCTTCTTCACGCAATATCGGATAGTAAACATTCCACTTTCTACATATAAAAATATGTTCTGGACTACAGATAAATTCAAGATCTTCTCTTAGCATGAACGTTGTCACAAAATTTTCGGTAGTCAAATGTGATGCTAAAAACTTTAGTGGGCGGTCTCGAATTATAAAAAAACAGAGCTTTTAAACTACCATTTTAGTGTTCAGATATTCATACACTCATTAGCTCAAAATGTTAGATCGAACACATTTTCTTGTCCCAAGTTTCCTTATATGACTTATTCACAGAATTTTTCCTACAATACGTTACCCTCAAGAGCAGCACATACGCCATTTGGCATGGTAAACCTTTATTTGTTAATCAACAAATCATGCGTCATGTACAAATTTGTCAAGCGCTGATATGTTCAAATGTCATAATTTGTGCTCAACTGACGGGTTGCCAAAGTGCAGAAACAGCTACTGGTGTCCAGCCTTCTAATGATGTATGTGGCTGAATGCACATATACACTTTCCCTCCATATAAGACTTTATCACCAATCTTGTAGGAAACATTGGGTTGCCATGGAGACTCTATTCCGCCTCCATTAGTTGTTGTTGACGGCGACGATGTACTTGACAGCGTTGACAGATTAGGTGTAACTGTTGTGGCACCTGTAGGCGGTACTGACGTTTTTGATGTTGATGGCACAATACCTTGGTTTAACATTTGATGAGTCAGTCCGATCAGTTCACTATTTCGATCCTGACTGAACTCCCAAAAAAAGGCCCCACCAAGTCTCTCATCCAGAACGTATTGATTTTTGATTTGAAATGATGACACATCATCATAGGAGATCCAAACGCCTGTTGATGGATTGTACAGGTACGGAACTTTTGACTTATCATCCCAATATTTTCCGTATGTTGGCATGTATTTGCTTTTCAAATCATCATAGTCGAACACACCGTTCTCCCATGTTCCCATGGGCAATTGAGACGATGCGTCTTGGAATAAGCCATTGTTGTTATTTTTCACACCTTGCCATCCACGACCATAGAGACCCAAGCCAAAGAGTAATTTCTCCCGCGGTACACCAGCTGCAATATACGCTTGGATAGCGCTATGGGAGTTGTATCTCGATTTGATATAACCGGGTGCAACGTCAGCTGCTGCGTCATCTGGATTCATGTACATTGGAGCATTGTGACCGGTTATCGTGTCCCAACCACCTAGTAGAGAACCAGCTACAATCAGAAAACACAGTGCATCCCGTAATTGTACGCACCATGAAAATCGTATGTCATGACATTGATCCAATCTAGATATTTTACCATATTCTTCAAATCCATGTCGGCGATTCGTTCGGTGCCTGCTCCTGTTGCGATAGTCAACAAGTATGTTTTTCCATTTTGCAAACCAGCCACATTCAGTTGTTCACGAATTTCTTCCAATAATAGAACATAGTTTTCACGATCAGCTGGACGATGGATATTTGTGCTCAATCCACCAGAAACAGGATATTCCCTGAAAAACAAACACTATTGTTATTCAGCATATGAAGGCCATAAGAGACCACTGACCAATCAAGGTCGACACCATCAAATCCATATGAGAGAACAAAGTCAACACAAGACGCAGCAAACTTTCGTCGAGCATTTTGATCTACTGCAACATCCGAGAATTTTCCTGACCATGTCTAAACGACAAACGCCTGATAAAGTTGTTCTTCTTTCGACGATGGCACTTACCCAACCACCAACAGAAATCAGAGTTTTAATATGTGGCCATTTCTCTTTCAGTTTCGATAACTGATTGAAGTTTCCACGCAACGGCTGATCCCATGTGTCACCAGGAAATGCTTTTTCTAAGTCAGCCCATGAATCTCCTATGGCAATAAGTCCATCGGATCCGATATTGGCAAAACCGTAATTAATGTGGGTGATTTTGTCACCCGGTATGTCCGTAATAAAATAGTTCCGTGCGTAAATTGACCATGCAGCAAAATAGCCTAAGATAATCAATGGATGCGCCATTTGCACTCGTTTTTCGTATAAGATTTATTAATGAAAACGTCTCAAGGTATATATTTGTTTCTACTTTCGAGATAAGTAGGTAGATAAAGAACAGTATTAATAATCAAAAGTTGATTACCAACGAAAATACGCATAAAATACTTGAAACATCATCACATGGGAAGAAACGCAGATTTCGTCTTTATTTTCCTTTTTTCTTAATTTCATAGATCAGAAAGTATTATCATAACCTTGTCTCAGCATATATTGTTTCTTGTATATAAATACCTACGGAGAATATTCTTTTTATGGATATAAGACTTAGTTGTGATTGTTCTGAATAATTTAAATTTAAGGACTAGTTTGTTAATGAATAGAGCGTATCTACAACAAAATTCGTTTTGTCATTATGCATTTTATCAGTAAAATTTCTCTCAGTACTCTCTAAAAGACTTCCGTAGGTTACAGAACGGACATCAGTTTTAGCAGTTTCTCCTAATAGAAACTGATATCCATATTGTGTAGTACTGTTTGCCTGTTTAGTATACACCTAAACATTTTTCTTCTCGTACAAAACCACCGTTTCTGTACTTTCCTTCTTTTAGAAATAAATGCTAAAACCGATGTCCGTTTGTAAACTATGGATTATTTTAGAGGTTAATTCGTTGCACAGTGTTTTCGTCCAGGTCAATATCATGTAGCTATTATCGAGTGTGTGTGTGTTAGAGATACAAAGATTGCTGAAAGTTTCTCATTCTTCTATTCTCTTCAAATATTCAATAGAATGCAAGAAATGAATATTGGCATTTGTCCGTTCCCAGGGCCATAAAGTATAACGGGGGGTGGCGTACATCCCCCAAAAAATAAAAATTTGTCCTTTCCTTCTAGAGAAAATTAAAAAAATTTTTCGTTATTTTTGGACCAACAGCGAAAGTTTTTTCCTTAGACCCCTCCAAAAAACCTTTTTATTCCCCCTTCCCCAAAGTTAAGTTGACTTTCTATTTAGGACCCTGTCCATTCCATCACTAGTGTGAGTTTCTATCAGGTTAAAAATAACATATCATCCTAGGTCTGCGTCTTATTCTTCGGATGCTGCTATTAAAACACTGGCAAAGTAGTTATGCTTTCTCGTCTGTTTGTTGATGCCCTCTCAATAATTTCGGTTATTTAAGGCGTGCACAATGTAAATTAAAGCAAAAGTTTTTTCTTAATTTTCGTTGGATAGCTGATTAAGAAAATGTAGTTTTTAATTTTTCAAAAAAGTTTTCATGTCGAAACTCGAAAACACTTGAAGGATGTAAAAACTAGCAAAATCCTTCAAATTCAAAAAATCTTTAAAATCTCGACTCTAGATTATTTTGAAGCCTTCAAACAATCTTTTTCGGATTCAGCGTTAAAAACTGAACAGAAAAATAGTGTGTGATCAATTTCGAAGCTAAAAGCCTGTCACGCATAGACGTCCCAAACCAGCCCTCTAAAGTGCGAGCATGCAATTTTGTAAACCTATCTAGATTTTTGTATTAATGGCTGAAGCCGTCATTTACCCGTCAATGGGTTTACTGAAAGCTTAGCTTTAAAAGTACCCTTCACTTTTTTTAAAATTTGTTCTGTTGCTGAGAAAGTTGATTTTTTCTAAATCAGAGGCGAAAAAGTCGGAATTCTGCCTGTAATACTCAATTTTCTCTATCGGAACTCAACTTTTATACAATAAAAATACCCTATTCGGAATCTCGATCAAAAACTGAGTCGATTAATGTGTACTTTGAATCTTTTAGTTGATTTTCAGTTTTGGGTGAAAATCTCGGCAATTTTTGGACGTGAAAGTTCCAATGCACATTAATCGACTTGGTTTCTCATCGTGATTTCGAATATGGTATTTTTATTGCATAAAAGTTGAGTTCCGATAGAGAAAATTGAGTATTACAGGCAGAATTCCGACTTTTTCGCCTTGATGAAAGTTTTTGAATTGGTTCCTGGCTGGTTTTACTGATTTCAGTCGTGACCTTTAACGAGCGACTCTTTTCTTTTTCAAGTCTGAGTCTAACTCGAGTCATTGACAAGTTCGACTGTTTTTTTTCTAGAAGGACCATCGTAGAACAGCGTCTAACCAGAAGGACCCATGGGGAAATTTTAGCATATAAGACGGCGTGTACATCCGTGAATATCATGAAATGAAGTGCGATAGCACGTGAACATTGTAAAATGGTGTGTGGGCACGCGTCAGAGCTGGGCAAGTTCATTAATGACTTGGCTTACTAAAGTTTTTTATCACTTATGACTTGACTTGTGACGGGGTCTAAAAAATCAAATCAGAACAATCGACTGAAATAATCGGGTTTTTGTAGCGAATTTTTTCAGGGTAAAATACATGATTAGGTCGGGAATTTTAATCCAGTATTAGATATAAGTGCTCTTCCACCGAAAAACTATGAGTTTATAGGTGATTTTGGACATTTGCCAAAAGCAATTATGAAGACATAATCGCAGACAAATCCATTTTTTATCAACACAGTATGCGAGTACACAAGACTCCACCAGTCGTACCATGGAGCAGAGAAAGGAACGAAGTCTACTAAACTTTGAGCATTTTTCTGCAGAAAAAGAATTCCAAGTCATGACTTGTAGTTTGTCTTGACTTGACTTAGAAAAATCCGAGACTTGGCCTGACCTGAAAGAAAATTTTATGACACATAACTTGACTTGAGAGTGAATATTCTTGTTAACTTGACTGGTAACTTGTAAAACACATGATTTGCCCAGTTCTGGCACGCGTGAAAATTATATTCCGCCTGTGATAGGGCGTGAAATGTTCATGAAAACTTTTCGCATCATATTTTTCACGTGATCACGAGTAGAAGGCGTGCCCACACGCGAATTTCTCACGTTAAAATTTTCATAGATAAATTTCACTTAGGGACACGCATGAAAATGTCTCGCGCTAATTTCATTGTGAAAAATATCGCTTCACGTTTATTCACACGTCAGTTTTTCACTCAATCCGTTTCGTGAACGATATTCACGTTTAACTGCAAGTGACAGTGTTTGGATAAACTAATCCAGCATATATACCATACCTGTAATTGTATGCTTTACCACAGAGCAATGCTTGTTCTGTTTGATTATTGCAATGTTTATCTGGAGAGATTATGTGTTTGAGAACAAGTGTGCAATTTTTAGTACAAACGTTGAAGTATACGCGAGAACTATTACAATTATGTACTTTCTGTCAAATTTAGATATTGAAGATAATAATAATATGCGTTTACTTTGTCGCAATAAAAGGACAGTTTTTCAGTAATACATGAAGATAGAAGAAATAACAAATCTTGTACTTTAGGAAAGATTTTCGTATTCTAATTTTAATTTATGCTTATTCTATTTTCTTGGCTCAATAGATACCAACTACGTAGCCAGGATTAGGAGAGGTAGGCACAAAAAAATTTCTGATTTACTAACATAGTTTTTTCCCCTTTTTTTACCATCCTGAGCCACTGCTGTTCCCGCCTAGTGAATTTGTCCTTTTCCTAAGCGCATTCCAGTTTTTTCTACGAATTAAGAATAAGAGGAATACACGTATAAATCACATGCTAAATAGTTGATACATTATGATGAAACAGAAACTTTTTTTGCTTAACACATAGATAAGAGGGAATCGATCAATTATGACTATCAGTACACATCAGAAAATACAGAACGAACAAGAAAAATGATTTTTTCGATGTTGCTTTACTTTCTATTCTAACTAAAAACAAAAGAGATTCAAACCCTAGAGGAAATAAGACTCCAAGGGGTGGGCTCAGGCCCACCCTGGTCCATAGCTAGCTATGTCGCTGATAGATCCAATGATTTTCCTTGCAGTTTTATACTTTTCATATTCTTGTTCTTTTCCTGCTACACTATTTATCTGTTTTTAAACTATAATTAAACGCAATTTCGTAGTGCGGGAGGAAATATTAAGTGGGATCCAGGATGCCCAAATTCAGTTTTTCGTAAAAAGTCAGGAGTTGATCAGAATTTTTTTTCTAAAATGTCAGGAGGAAAATCAGGAGGGTATCAGGCAGTTTTTTCTTGAATATGCAAACCAAAAAAATCTAATAACTTTTTCAAAAACCTAGTTTTTCTCAAAAAATATATTTTGGAAATATTTTTTGATGGAACAGTATTATCATTTGTTACCGACCACAGTACGAATTGACGAAGATGATTTTGAACCGATGGGTTTGGAAGTTCACTAATCTCATCTTCTTGTGATAAGAACATTCGATACGCACACAGTGGGCTCTTTCAATATACAATTATTTAGACTCTTGATCTAGAAATTGTTTCTAAAACTGATAATCTCAGTTTTGAAACAAACAAAATCAATGCAGAAAATCCGGAGAAATCAGAAGAAAAGTCTAAAATCGGGAGTCTCCTGGTCAGATCAGGAGATTTGGCAACCCTGGTGGGATTCCACTTAATATTTTCTAAAAAATTTCTAAGATTTTCGAACATCTTAGAAAATGTTTTAAACAAAATTCTTGAATTTCACGCTCGCCCACGTGTGAATGTCGTGAAGATTGACCGGTAAGCGTAAGTACAAAGGTTCTCTGTATTTTCCGAAGTCAAGTTGGCTCAGCGACAGTGTCTCAGATCTGTAATTCGAAATACCTCATCTCTCACGCGTGAAAAGTCGATAAAATTTCCCCATAGATATTGGAATATTTAACGTAGCATTTCTTACTAGTTTCTACCTCATATTTTAGGCTATCCGTTACTGAAAATGAATGTTTTTGTCTTCATGAAACTCAAAAGCAGTTTTACATCGCATTTTTTCATTTTCATGAACGATAACATAAACCGGGACATATCTCAATAAATAATCGAATAGATTTTTATCAAAACATGCAATCGATCGATATTATAGTAAAAATTGATTTTCATCCTTAATTTCCTATTAATCATTTTGAAAAATGAATGAGATTTTAATTCTTTCCCACTACGGAGAAGAACATGTAAGAAGAAATTCAACAAGGCTTTGTTCTTGAGATGACCGAATTTTACCTCAGATAGATCTAATAAGATATTTGAACAAAAACATTTATAGAAACGTACTAGGTAATTGATGTGCTTTAAATTTTGCGACACTGAATTTTGCAGTGCGCACAAATATTCTTCTATAACTACCCAAACAAACATGATACTTCATTCTTGAAGGTGCGACACGCACATCAATAGCATGCGGACAAAGTTTAGTTTTCCTAACATTCATCTTAGTTGTAGAGTACATATCAACGACTTGGTTAAATCATGCAGGAAACGTCTTAATACACGCAGTGTATGTTTAAAAAAAGGAAATTTTTCAACGTAACTATAAGTTTAGAAAACATGTGTTCTCAGCACATGATTTACGCCTGTACATTGCATTCAATAATCTACGGACTTCCTACAAGTCTATAGAGAAACTTGCAGCACACATAGTCACGCAGAATTTCGATACATGTGTAAAAGAACTTCTACAAAAACTGAAATGAGTTCTAGTTAAGATATGAAAACAATATTTTGTCTGGTTTTCTTTTTCAACGGGGCTTTCAAACTTACTGAATCTATTCTAGTATGAGCAGGACGCTCTAATACGTTTTCAACACCCTAGACAGATAAAGCCTTCTTCGCTTGAAGCAGATCGTATTACACTCTTTTTCCTACTAAATACATCAACATTGAAAATTTCAGTCTAATTGAAGTTATTGTTGCTTTCTCTATTATTAAGTTCTTTACAAGATTAAGACTGTATCTAGAACTATAACAAAAAACTTCTCTGCAAGTTGACAGTGTTCATAAATGCAATGTATGCTTATTCTTTTCCTGACAACAGAGCTTATTTTTTTAACTTCAATAACTTCTGTGTTTCTCTTTTGTTATTTGTTTATTTCAATGTAAAACTTTTGCCTGATGTTGACGAAACAAAAAAGAAATAATCAATTAATTAATAGAGGTATAAGAAACATTTGTGAAGAAACCATCACACTATGAACAACTTATCATTATTGAGCCATTGGTGCCTTTATTGTTTGCCTACCTCATAATATATTGCAATGAAACATATTGTGAAAAAGAAGGAAAAAGAAAAAACCAAACTAAACATCGTATACACTGATTAAAAAAAGGACAAGTGAAACAAGAACAGACAACGAAAACAACAAACAAACAAATAAAGACAAAAGATGTACATATCATCAATAAATAATTACTATATAGATCAAACAAATAGACGGCCCATTTTCTTTTTTTTTCGTATGTTTTATCATCATCAACTATAGTCTCACACACGGATTCGTTTGACGAAAAATACGTGATGTGTGGTGTATTGAATAATATGTATTTTTGTTTGTTTTTTCAAAGAAAAAAGAGAGAGCAAATAAGATACACAAAATACACTGAGACAAACAATAATATTCAAATTACATAAAGCGGGAAAGATATCAAAGAGACACATGAAGGAGAAAAAAATTTGTCTCCAGATAGAACAAAAAAGTTGTTAGATAAAAGCAAACGAACTACAAGAAAGAGAGCATGAAAAAATGATCGAACAAAACGGATGTAAGATTATTCATCAAGAGAAAATCGATCATCCTCTCCCTTCTCCGCACTATTCAATCGTCTAAGACAATGGTTACTGTACGCTTCATTTTTTTTGCTGGCGGTACACTCCAACTGGTATTATTATTACTACTATTTCCAGTTATTTGAATATGATTTCGTTTATTATTATTTACATTATCTGTTGTCTGAGTAGGAATAAAACCATTTGTTGTTGTTGATGGTAGTGCTGTTGGCGGTGGTGGTGGTGGTAGTGACGCAGTTGGATGTTGGACGATGAGCGGAGGTGGAGGAGGTAATAGAAGATGATTTGTGGGTTGAAACATATGAGATGGATGTAAAAATTCATGTGCTGCTCGTGATCTTGTGTTGTACTGATATGGCTGTTGTGCAGAAGAATGACCATTTAAAACGAGTGGTGGTTGTTGTTGTCGTATTTTTGATACATAATGATTATTATTCATTAATTGGTGAACACGCTCTTCACTAAAATCGAACGCTTGCGCTTGTAAGGCTGATGTTGTTGACTGTTGTTCTTCTTCTTGTTGAAGACAAGCATGACGACATCGACATACACCATTTTCACAACGACGTCTCGTATGGGGTAATAGATTTGTGATCGATGTATTATGACTACTACTGCTAGAATTCAATGAATGATCATTATTATTGTTTACTGCTGACGGTGTCGGTAATGTGGACGAAGATGTAGAAGATGAGGAGTCAGTAGATCGTTTTGTTTGGCGTCGTCTAGCTAAAAGTCCATCTTGTACCGACGATAACTGAAATTGTTGTGCTTTTTGAAACGCTTTCATTGTTACATTCACCGCACGAACCTAAACAAGACATTGTTGAAGACAAGATAAACAGTGATTTGTTTTCAAATACGTACGATCAATGATCTAGAGGCTTGTGACAGGATTCCAGGTGTTAATAATAATTGCTGTTCATGTGTAGAAACATTCGAACCGCGCAACCAATTATTTCGAGTTAGATCTTTGATTGTCAAACGTTTGGTTGGTTCAACGGTTAGTAAACCTATGAAAGAAAAATGTGTAAAAATGACTTGTTTACCTTAGCTATATTCAGCTTTTTGTAGAATATTACTTATACTAACACAAACAAGAAAGCTGTACCTCAGTATAGTACTTTTTCTATTATTTATCTGTTTATATTGAATTTAAGACCATTAAAGTCGGTAAATATCCACGTGATATATTTTCATACATCAAGAAGCAAACCTTTACCTTTGTTATTATTAAGCTTATTGTACTATACTACTGAATTTTCACTTTAAAACTCTGTCACCTCATGAATGAATGGACTATAGGCAATATCAACAAGTATTATAGAACAATGTACAAAACTCATTCATTCGCGAAAAAACCTCAACTTATACTATCGTTTTTTGAAATGACATAAATCTTCGTCAGTACAGACTTCATAATCAGCAGCAAAACAAATCATGATGGACACGAACAAGCAAAAAAACTAAGAAGAAGAAATCGAAGGTAAAAACAAGATGAGAGAAACGTACAATTTTACTCTTTACCCTATAAAAGAGCGGGCCAACACATTTTTTGGCATTAGTTTAATATATATATATATAGCAGTCTATTACCTTTAACAAGATCTTTTGCACTTTGTGATACATTTTTCCATGCTGGTGATGAATAACTCAATTTTGAACGTGTGATATCTTCCACAATTTCTTCAGCTGAACGGAATTGTGTCAATGAATTAAATGGTACTTCACCACTTAACATTGTATATAAAATAACTCCCAGACTCCATAGATCGCAAGATTCATCATAGCCATACAATGAAGCGGCTATCTGGGATGTTGATGAAGATGTGGAAGATGACGAACTTGATGGTAGATTTGTCTGAATTACTGTCGCAGCACGTAAAACTTCAGGAGCGGTATATCTAAACAAATTACATAAGTCAATTTCCGAACAGTTTTATAGTTTTAGAAGCCCTTATATTGTTCTTATTCCAATATTTACACGTCAAAATACTTCAAACACATGAACATACCCTAATGTGCCACACGGTGTTGTCATTTGTTGTTGTTTAATACGTTTTTTAGCAAAACCAAAATCGATAATTTTTATCTCTGCTTGTGGTTGTGCATTTGAAAATAATAAATTCTAAACAGTAAAAATTAACAGTTAACATATTTTCATGATATAATTTCATGCTCAAAAACCTCTGGTTTAATATCTCGATGGCATAAATCTTGACCATGCATATAATTAACAGCTGATACGAGTTTTTTCATTAATTGACTAGCTTCTTTCTCTGAAAATGTTGCTTGAGTACGAATACGATAAAATAATTCACCGCCAGTGAGTAGTTCCATTATAATATATGTATGAAGCTAAAATAGAGTAGTTTATTTTGAATAAATAGAAAATATTAGAAAAAAACAAGAAAATACTTACTTCATCGCGATATACTTCGTGAAATTTGACAATATTCGGATGTCCCTGACATAATGTCAATAAATCAATTTCATTCTGAGTGTCAACTTCTTGACGATTCGAGATAATTTTAACAGCAAATTCTTCTTGAGTACGACGATTACGACAACGTCTTCAAAATAAAACCCAAAATTATGATTATATATACGCATATGTATTAGCTACAGCATTTACTATAATTATGCCACTTTCTTACCTGCATATAGAATAGCTTCCTTCACCAAGAAAACCTTCTCTATCAACTAATTCATAATTTAAAAAAAATGAACTTGTCTAAAAAATAAAGTTATTTTTATTTTGTATCCAACAGAGTGATCGTTTTATTTACTTTGATTAGACGATGTAATTGTGATGGATCTGGTCTTTGATGATTTGTTAAACGTAATAAATTATACAATTCTTCATTAACGGCATTTTCTGGACCAAATAGTACTGATGGTGAGATGAATGAATAACCCTAAATAGAATTTTACATTAAAAATAGTAAGATGATATACTGAACAAACTTACCCGAAATAAACTTTCGGTTGGTGGTGCAAGACCGGGTGAATCAGTGATTGGTAAACGTGTGAATTCTTCTGCAAAGTTACTTGTATCCATTTCGTCGCGAAGTTTTGGTTTTATTGGAGCTGATGTTCGTTTTTGAGCCAGTGCATCCCAATCAATGCCCTTAAAATGAAAAGAAAATATATATCTAATATATTCTGAACGATGAACAGTTAGAATTCTGAATTTACATTAAAAAATGGATGTTTTTTGACGTCATCTGATCCTTTAGCACCTAAACGTCTTCGTGGATTTTTCAATAATAATTTAAGAATAAAATCTTTTGCTATTTTCGAAATATAATTGGGTATCAACGGTTGATTTCGAAGTATACGTCTAAATAAAAATATTATATTTAAGAACAAGCATTGATACGAGGTGTTTTGTTAAACACTTGTTAAACGAGAAAACTTAGATTAGTGACTTATCAGAATTTTTCTAAGCGATACATTAGAATAATTTTTCCTACTATCTATAGTACTCTGGAGGCAACATTTTCGTTAATACTGAATGATTTTGATTGAGGTATGTTCCTTTCTAAGAAGCTAAAGGGTAATCCAAAAGAGTTTAGGTGTGCATTAGAAAAAAGTTAAATTGCTTTCTTACCGTCAGTTTCATATCAATTCTTACAGAGACAGGTACCATCATGAAATTATATAGTAGTAATGTTATAGTTATAAATATTTGTTAGCTATAGTTTGAACTTATTTTTGGACTGATAGTATAAAAGAAACTTAACTTTTTTCTAAGGTATCTAAAAATTTTGGATCATCCTTTAGTTTGGACACTTACTTCGAAATCTCTGGTTGAGTATTTCGATCGCCATCAACAGTGAATGGCGATGCCCCAGTTAATAATTCAAAAGTTAGTACGCCCAACGACCACCAATCCACTGCAAAATCATGTCCATTATCTCCACCCTTCACAACTTCGGGAGCCATATACTCAATTGTTCCACAAAATGAGTATGTTCGTTTATCCTTCAAAAAAAATTAATAAGTAAGGAATTTTCTAAAATAAAAATTATGATTAGAAATACATACGGCATCATCTGGACGAAATTCTTTACTGAGACCAAAATCGGCCAAAACAATGTGTCCTTCACTATCAAGTAAAATATTTTCTAATTTAATATCACGATAAATTATTCCAAGCTAAAAATGAAAGAACAACAGTTACACTATAGAATATTTATTAAATTTCATAGAGTTTTGGTTTCTCTATTAACAAATCCTACAGTTTTTCCACTTCTAATCATGTGAATCGTCGGACATTAACTAGATATAAAGTTTTTTGAAAGATTTAATGTAACAACTTTTAAATTCAATTAACTATGATTATAAGTCTTTAGGTGATATTTCTTAAAGGGTTAGTAGTTATCAAAACAGAAATATTTTAGTTTGAATCCTAAAGTACAATTATTATCATCGTAGCCCTGATTTAATCTGTTGAAGATCTACAATAAGTTAATGAGTTTTCTAAACTAAAATACAGTATGTTGAATACATACTATTTTTTGGTCTGTCGGAAGTCGACAAATTCCCAAAAAAGTGATAGAGTTTTCCAAACATGTACGGTTAATTAAAATTTTTTATCAAGGTTATAATGCTTGAGAAATATTTCTCAAAAATCTTGATATCTTCAAATTTTTCAATTTCAATTAATTTTTCAAACAACAAAATTTGGCCCCATTATCGTATTTTGTATATCATTAAAAAATCGAAACTGACTTAGTTTTCATCGGTTATTACCTTTAAACTACATTTCACGTTAAATCAGTAGAATTCATTATTACGTGTTATATACACATATTGCTGTAAGGTAAACTTTATGAATTCGAGAGACGTCTTCACTTATAGAAAAAACTAATATAATCCATTGTACATGAATTTTGTAAAACATTTACATTTTTCACTTTAATCAGATTCATAAATTCCTGAATATACATGCACACATTCTTCATTCACAAACAATGAACACTAACCTTATGTAAATGATCTAATGCTAATGTTAATTCTGCTATGTAAGTTTTTGCATCTGGTTCCGTAAAATGTTGTCGACGGTTTAAATGTGTAAATAATTCACCACCACTCACATAATCTAATATAAAAAACATCAATAATAGAATGAGAGAGAATGATAGTTAAGTTGAGAATTATATACCCATAACAAGATGAAGTTTTGCATCGCTTTGAAATGCATAATGCAGAGAGACAAGAAATGGTATTTGTCTAATTGCTTCTAATACTTGTCGTTCAGTTTTAATATGTTCAGCTGTTTTTGCTTTTTGTAATATTGCTGATTTTTTTAAAACTTTCATTGCATACAATTTATTCATATCTGAACCATTAATTTTTCGTACTAGAAACACTTTACCATAGGCTAAAATATAAGACGAAATCATATCTTCAATCATAATATTCATTTCTACAAGTGACCTTGGCGAAGTTACCATTTTTCTGTCTAAGACTTCCCGGACAATCTGACAAGTGATGTATATAGACATCTGCGATTAATCTCATTATGAAATATCCATGAACATGGACAAAACATGTTTGATAACTATGGACATAGGACAGAAAAATCCATAGGACTGAACGTTTTTGTTTATATCCACCCCACTTACCGATCATCACGGACTACGATTTTCTTTCGTCTGACCAAATACTATACTGTATGGCTTTTTTAAAGTTTGTTGCTAGAATTTTGTTAGCAGTACGAATCTGTCACCATACCCACTCCCCATGTCCTTGTGTAACCATGGGCATGAGTTTGTAAAATTTTCTCGATGAGAATGTGTGTGGACATTGGGTATCACTTTCGAAGTTCAAGTGCATGAAGGATGGATACGAAAAAGCGTGGAATATCTAGGTCGCTGTCCTTTGAACGTTTCCTACTACAATCAGCTGTTCATAGCAAGAGTAACGTCCAGGAGCACAGAATCCTCTTCGTTTTTAATTACCATATTATGCTGCTTTCTTACCTCCTGTTCCTAGAACTTTCAGTAATTCAAAATCACTCATATCAACACGATTACTATTGGTCATTTCATAAACTAAAACGAAAATAAACAATAATGATAGGGTCTTGAGGTACTGGAGAGCAAGTTTTTGACATACAATCGAGAACAACATCACTAAGAGCCATATTTGACTATCAACGATATCTGAATGGGTAAAAGACGTTCGAATCGTGATTAAACGGGGTATTTGGTCATTATTCAATCTGAATCCTTATTCATTAGTAAGATCTAAAAGGAAACCAGACGAATAATTAGTAAAGTTATATCATTTAGAGAGATTTTTCAGACTTAGTTTTATACTAGTGAATGCACAATCAGTATTACAGGGTATTTTACGAAATATCCTGTCCGATGTTCCGATGATTTCCCTTGTTATTGTTCAATGACTCATATCATCTGTGAGCTAAGTCTATTATTGGTTCATTCGTTTCACGATATCGAACCAATGAAGAATAAAAAGAAACGAATGCCGAAATGTGCTTGTTATATCTGACTTAAAGGATATGTTAAATTAAATCAAAACCGTTTCAATGTGCAGAACAAATTGTCTCATATCCCCCTTATCAGTAATAAAAGTTCCATCAACGCTAAATATTATGCGAACCGCTTTTTACAAAAATTTGGAAGCACTGTATTTCATGGAAAGTCCATCAAAAACAAAAAATATAGTTCGTGGGGCATAAAATAAAAAACTTGTATATTTCAATATCTTTTGTATATTAGAGAAAATATGTAAGAAAGACAAAATTAACTGACAATGCTCATAAATACATATATCGCTCGGACAAGGATCCAAAAAATTCTTCAGGTATATACGGTATGAGAGAAATTATTTTTAATGTTTACGATGAAAAAAAAATCAGATAGTCTGCCGAGAAAAAGTAACGTGACTATCGTATACATCCACAAATTTCTCTTGTCATCTCCGGACGTAAAGTAAACACAATTTCAAGACACTTTTGTGTCCCAGTTTTTTCCCTATCCTCAAATGAAATAATGAACTTTTTCCAGGATAGACTCCGAAATGATGTCTACATAAACTAGAAATAACTTTGGAATATCCAAAAAACTCTATCAGAACTAGATCTGAAAACTTTTTGATACATGACATACCTTTAAGATACTACTGCTTCTTCTCTTCCATTAAATTGACATAAATAAAACAAAAAATATATCATTCCATGAAGAATTTTACGAGATACATTTTGTGAAAAATCCTCTGTAACATCATAATTTCTAATCCTAAAAATTTTACGTTTATGTTGGCCGTAAGTAATCTGTTTTTTTTAAAAAATTTATAAGTCCACAAAATTTTTCCACATATATACCGGTCGAACCAGCATAAAAAAGAAAAACTACGTAATGTTTATTTAAAACAATCAGATTTAATATCTAATTTAAGCACATTTTGTCACGGGAACGATACATCCGTTTTAATGTTTCAAACGTTCTCACCTCGAATCCGACATTCGGTATCCTTCAGATAACTAATTTTTGTAGAACAAGAGTTTCTCTTCAAAATGCGGCGTCTCCGAAATCTCTAGCTTTTGGTGTTGGAATGTCATAAATAAAATATTGTAAGTGCGAAATGAGGTCGCTATTTAAATATAGAAACAGTCCGGTAAAAGCGACATCATGACTAAAAGTAAAACGTTGACTCAATCGTAGTACGTAGAAAAGATAGAAACTTCTTATTTTGAAGAAAAAGTTCTGTTCTACGAGAATCATTTGATAATTTTAAGACATAATTTTAAGACACTATGTATCAAAAAGTTTTCAGAACTCGTTCTGGTAGATTATTTTTGATATTTCAAAGTTATTTCTAGTTTATGTAGACGACGTTTCGTAGCCTATCCTTGAAAAAGTTCATTGTACCATTTGAGGATAGGGAGAAAACTGTGAAACAAAAGTGTCTTTAAATTGTGTCTACTTTACGTCCGGAGATGATAGGAGAAAGGATGGGAAACGATTTCTGCTAGAAAATGGTTCAATATGATTTTGAGTGAAAATGATCAGAAATGCTTCCCTTTTCACTTCCCAACACTTCTAACGTTCGAAAATTGCTCCTGATCTCCTTGAAAAAATTATTTCTTACCGGGTTTCATTACCAATTCAATGAAGGTCATTCACTTCATTTCTCAAATTTTCATACGATTTTAAAGGTTCTGACCAAAGCTCATACATAGAAAGATAGAGAATTTTCTGCGCTTCACAATAAACTTTTTATAAATAACTTTTTAGCTATAAATAAACTTTTCAAAAATATGCCCGCATAGAACAGTTGTCAAAATACTAGACAGATATCATGATTTTCACCTCTCTTAAGATTTAAGAATATTTCTTCCACACATCTACTTAGACCCGGAATGTTTTATATATTGAAAGATAGAGAATTTTCTGCGCTTCACAATGAACTACAATATTTTGTTTTGTCCTGATAGATTTGTTGGCTAAATACTGGATAGATATCTCGATTTTTACTCATAATGGTATAGAAAAATAATCACAGTTTCCTTCACAAATAGAAATTAGGAATAGTTTGTATTTAGAAAAATGCAGAATTGAAAGGGCTACAAAATAAGCTATAGTACGTTGTTTCAAACATTAAGTTTAATATACTTATTGGCAAAAATAACGAACGGATACAGTGAACCTATGACAGGGCACTGAACGAAGTACAGTGGTGTAAATAAGGGGAGACTCTCATACAAGAAAATGCAGGAAATAACAAGCTTCAAACTGAAATACATTAGATTCTTGGAAACGTATCCTTCATACATTTCTACGCTAAATACTATACAAGTATGATGATTGTTGCTAAAAGTATGTGACAAAAGTTTGAGCTTTGCTTTTGCTGACTTTTTTCCTCAACCACGCCAGCTAAAAGAATACTAAAGAGTGCCTTGAGCAGCTAAAACATTTTTCTATCCGATAAGGCGTATATAAGAGTTTTCTCAAAATGTTTAAAAACGAGGATTTGGGGAAAACCCAAAAGCCATACTTTCCGATGTTCTGGCTTCTATCGGTAATTTTGTGTTAATGGCTTGGTTTGATAGAGTAAACATTTCTGAGAAAAATAAGACGCCTCCGAGCTCTCCACAACATATTTTCATCAAGCTGCATTATGTTTACGAAAAGCCCCAAACACATTCCTGCT